ACTCCGAGCGCACCCTCGTGAACGAGCCCGCGCGCCCAGCCTCCGGGATTCCCGGCACGTCTTTCCTGAACCCCATCGTCATTGGTGAGGGCCCGGGCGAGGATGCGGACCATGCCTTCCAGGTCTTTGATCAGACGGGCTCCCGAGACGATCCAATAGTCCTTTAGCTACCATCACTCTAATGTATCTATATGCAAACAATGTTAATCCCCGTTTTCCGCTCACTTTATTTCGCGGTCACTCTGCCCGCGCGCCACTCAGGTCCTCGCTGCGCTCCGGCCACAAGGACCAGTGCGGCCACAAGAACAAGCGTGGCCACAAGAACCAACGTGGTCAGTGCATGCTGCGGTACGTGACCCGCCTCCAATTGTTCTTTCCCTTACTCATTCTGGCTCCACTCGGTGCTTGCCACACGTGCTCGGACAACGCGTCGCGTCGCGTCCCAGACCACTCCCTGCACCTTTCCTCGTGTCTTGCTTACACTCCCCTCTCTCCCTCGTCCGTCTCCTCGCCCTTCATCCACCATCATGTCCGACGACGTATCACGCTCTCCATCCCCCACCCGCACGGAGTCAAGCGCGCACGAGACAGGCTCGTACAAGCCCTCGCGCAACCCATCCCCTGCTCCAGACCCCAATGCTACTGAAGATGGTGGTGCGAGTGTTCCGCCACCTGCTGGCAATTCGAAGAAGGGTCGCAAGAACAAGAAAGTCAAGGCCTCGACAACCCAAGACGCGGTCGAAACATCCGACGACGATGAACCAAAGCCCAAGAAAGTGAAGAAGCGCCGAGGCAAAGGGCGTGCCGACCCTATTCCCCTACTGGTCGAGGCGACGGCTGAGGGGAAGGATCGCGGAGCTCGTATAGACTGGGACGGTCATTACGCCACTCACCGCCAATACTACGCCACCCGGTACGAAGAGTGGAGGCAGCGACCTCGCAAGGAGAAGACCAAGTTCATCACTGACCGCGCAAACGAGGCCATACAGCAGTGGGGTCTAGAACCGGACTCGAAGGCAACACCAAGCTGGTTTATTGAGGTGAGTGCGTGGCGCATAACGCGGTCGACGCATCCTGACCCCCGTATAGAGATCCCGCCACTGGTTCAACAACGTCCAGAAGCACAAAACCTGGCAAGAACGGATCGAGAAGATCATCGGCGACGAGCACCGTCCGCAGATCCGCAGCGTCGCCGCTCAAAAACACGAACCGACGCCTCTAGTCAAGCGGATGGTTCAGCGAGCGAGCGCAGCCTTCGTTCTGTGGGCCCGAGATCCGAAGAACAAGGTGAAGCTCCCCGAGTATGACGGTCCTAACCCCGGGATGCGTGCGTCACTCAGGTCGCAGGCGTTCGAGAAGGAACCTACCGAGGTGCAGGACTACTACAAAAAGCTCGCTCATGAGGAGTCTCATCGCGCGGATCCGAAGGTGGTCTTTGAGTAAGTCTCATACCTCGCATTTGATGAGAGCGCGCTGACCTGCGAGCAGGAACCAAGAGACCATGGGCTCCCTGCTCGAACAGAGCTTTGATCAGCTTGCCGGGTTCCATATCGCAGGCACCGGGCAATCGTCCTTCTCCACGATCTGGATCACACGCAAGTCTAACAATGAGTTGCATTTCGAGTAGTAAGTACCCATCTCTCAAGCGAGCTTTACTTTGCTTACTCGTTGGCAGCCTGTCCGGCGGCGTCAAGACGGAAGAAGACTTTTGGGCGTTCGAGGGAGGGCCGACCGCTGCAGAGAGAGACCGCATTCACAGGTTTGCGGAATCCCATATTCGTGAGTGCATCTCCTCCTCCCGACCAAATCGCGTGACTAACTGTACCTCAGCGCCGAACCCCGACTTTCCCGCTGACGATGAAAAGAACGAGTTGCCTGCATGGGACCCGAGAACGACTACCCAAATGCTGGCTCTCAAGAACGTCCACGACTACTTGCAGGCCGCATATCGTAAGTCTTCTCTCGAAAGTCGTGAGCTCTCGTTCATACACCCGCAGGTATGGCGCATCCTCAAGACCCCGCGGTCGCGCTGAGAGTCGCCGATATTGGACAGAAGCATACCATCGCGGATGTCTGGCAGGACGCCGGCATCGAGGGCTTCGAGACCATGCCCTTGCCCGAATTCATCACTCTATACCAGCGGCTCTACGACGCCCAAGGCACCCCCGACGCCTTCCGTTTCCTCCCGAGCGACCTTGCTCCACCCCAGCCCGCCACCGCCGGTGTCTACAACACGCAAACGATCTACCGATCACCGGCAAAGCGCATCGAGAAACACGCCCGCGTGTGGGATCTAGGCTCGCCCCCCTTACCGCCACTCGACCTAACTCCCGACCTCCACGCTCCCGCTTCTAGCGTCGCTACACCATCAGGCCCTGAGAACACGCTCATAGAGCCCGAGTCGCTTGAGCATGAAGTCGACGAGCGCGATCGAGTGGGCGAACCACGCGTCGAGGACGAGCGCGCTCACCGCGAGACCGAAGAACGCGAAAGCCTCGAGCGCACCCGTCTCCACGCTGAAGAGCATGCCCGCGTCGAGCGTGAGGCTGAAGAGCGTTCCCGCGTCGAGCGCGAGGCCGAAGAGCGCGCCCGCGTCGAGGCCGAAGAGCGCGCTCGCATCGAGGCCGAAGAGCGCGCTCGCATCGAGGCCGAAGTGCGCGCTCGCATCGAGGCCGAAGTGCGCGCTCGCATCAAGGCGGAAGAGCGCGCCCGCATCGAGGCCGAGGTGCGCGCTCGCATCGAGCGTGAGGCTGAAGAGCATGCCCGCGTCGAGCGCGAGGCCGAAGAGCGCACCCGCATCGAGGCCGAAGAGCGCACTCGCATCGAGCGCGAGCAAGACATTCAGAGGCAAGAGCGCGAATTGCAAGAAGAACTCACTCGAGAGGCCCGAGCTCACATCCAGCACCTGGTTCAAGAACACGCCGACAGGGACGCCTCACGCCTCGCTCCGGAGCAGGCAGGGCAACAGGAAGGCACGCGGCGCTGCGACGAGAATGCGCGCGAACACGGGACGCTGCAGCTCGACCAGCCCGAGAGGCGAACGACGAGGGCAGTGGCACGAGCAGCTGCTGAGACTGCTACGGCCGAGCCGAGGCGCAGCGCTCGTGGTGGTCAGCCCCCCCGTTCCCCTCCTGCGAGCATCAACACGCGCACGCTCAGGCGCAAAGCCGAGGCGGTTGAGGGCAACGACAGCGCGTCGGCGAACGGAGGGGCGAAGCGACAGAAGACAGCGCAATCGAGCAAGCCGTAAGTCACTTCGTTTGGGAGCGCACGGTAGACATGCTGACGCGTGTACAGCGCCCCTAGGCCGAGGGCGAAGGCGGCGACGTCCGGCTCTGGACCCGCGACGAGGAGCAGTGCTCGGTAGTCTGGGTGTTGCAGAACAATGTAGTATTGCTTTACCACGAACGTAGGTAGCGGCCGACTATGCGTACCATTTGTACCAGTAACTCTACGATAATCGTACGGTTTTGCGAGTCGCAATATTGAACAGTAGTAGCTTAGTAGTAGACCAGTAGACCGTGGTAAGTGCTCGCATTGCCCGCCATGCACTAAACGAGACAAATGCGACGCGTTTGGTCCTACCACAGTGCTTTACTAGTAGTTACTACTGGTAATCGTGAACTGACGCGCGCCCGGTTACAATATAATTAAGCTCTATCGATAAACCCTGTGAGCGACGCTGGGGCTTACCAGTTCTCTAACCGCTCCGCAGTCCACTCTTCAGTCCACTGCCTAGACCCGCTATCTTCTCTCCCTTAATCAGCACCCACAGCCATGAAGTCTTTTGGTACCGTCTTTGCCGTCATCCTTGCGGCGTCTCAAGGTGAGTTGACGACTCGTAGTATCCGTCATTACGACCGTTGACGGATACGTTCATTTTCTGTGTAGCACTTGTTCTCGCTAAGTCGGTATCGCCGTCCGTCACGGCACTCTCTTCGACCGTCGGCCCATCCACCACGTACACCGACGGCCCATCCGCCACGTACACCTCGGACGACCCGTCCTCCACGTACCCCGCAGACCCAATCGACAGTTCTGCCGCGGAGACCGCGAACGCGACGTTGGCCGACTCCGCCAGCGCGACGGTGACCACCCCCGCCAACGCAACGTCCACCCACGTCTCCAACGCCTCCTCCCTCGCGAGCGGCTCCCACGCGAACGTGACCTCCTCCGGCGCCGCCGCGAGCCAGACCACTGCCATGTTGAACGGGACCCCGAGCAACTCGAACCAGTCCAAGCCGGACGCAGGCAACGGCGCGTTTGCCGGTGCGTCCGTCGACGTCCGGACCGGGCTCGCGGCGATCCTCGTGGTCGGGGCTGCCGTCGCATTCGGCTTCTAGGGCGCCGTTGTTGCGGAGGAGTAGCGGGAGTGGGTGTCGGGTGTCACGGCGGCGGAGGGAGATGGAAATGGGCAGAACGGACCAGTCACGATCTTTTTCATACGCTCCTTACTTTCCGTGGACACTGATGGTACACGGTTTGCACACAACGCTTCGAGAACGGGCCAGGCTCGATCGCAGAAGAGGGCTTCGAGAAACGGCATCGAGTACTTGCGGGGGTGGCGAGCGCCATCGTCTGATAACGAGAGAGCGCACGTCCTGTGCGAGTGAGCGACGATGGCTGTCCTAGCAGCTTCCGACCAGGAATGTTATCGGGGACGATCCACTCGTCAACTAACTCGCCATCATCGTCACCGGTTTTCGGAACGTCTTCTTCGGGAAGGATGAGAGGTGTGAGATCGGGGAGAGAGGGACATGTCCAAATAACCATTCCGACTCCCAGTCGAAGGGGATATCCAGCTGGCATGCTTGGAGCGGGACAGGACGAGCTCGTAGAGTCGTTGGGGCATGTTTGGGGCGAGGAAAGTCCATAGATCTGGCGCAGACCCGATGAGATCGCGCCACGCCCGACAGCCGAGGAGGAGCACCTTACGCCGTCTGTGGGTCCGTTTGGGATCGTCGTCGGCGGGGCGAGGAGTGCAAGTAGAGCGTTGGATATCAGACAAGAGTTAATGGCGCTGAAGGAGGGACGACGAAGCCAGAACTAACGGTACCAAAGAGAAACTGTGCGTTCTGTACGATACGGTCCATCCGCTGTCGCGAATTCGCGGACCTCGACGGTAAGACGTCCGCCTCCTGTGCACACAAACGCGTCAGTATATCGCCATTCATGCGTCCACTTCGCCGTTGGGACTCACCACGGCAGCGCTGGCATGCTCTACGACGGCACCAGACGCGGCGGCGCTGTGCATGGGACCGACGGCCGCGGCGGACCGCGCGGCGACGACAGCGAATGCGGCAACAGCAGCGGAGGGACACACCGCCGCCGTGGCAGCAGACGGGCGCGCGGCGGAAGTCGCGGCCGACAGCGCAAAGTCCTGGTTGGGGTGCACCGCCGTGGCGAAGGCGACAGCAGCGGAGGCGACAGCGGCGGACATGGCAGCATTTGCAGCTTTTGCGGCGGGGGCGGCAGTCGCGGAGAGCACTGCGAGTTGCGGAGGTGATCAGACACGATGGAGGCGGTAGGAAGAGGCAGACGCACGTTGTGGAATCCGTCGTACGATATCCCGGTCGCAAAAGACCTCGGTTCGGGGAGAGTAGCTGCACACTCGGTTGCGGCACACAGCACGGAATCGAGGAGGACTGAGAGGGCGCTAGTGAGGCGCATTGTTGTGCGGTCATCGAGCTCGGTGTTGGAAGTAGTTTTGTCTTGAGAGTGCTTGGTGAGGACTAGTAGTCGAGTCCGTGCCATGCTGGATGCCGTGCAAGTGTCCGTCAATTGTGGGACTTTGCTCCGGGTTACAATCAACCTGAGTGTCCGGGCCGCGTTGACCGTCTTTGCAGCATGGCTCTCGGAGGTTCACATAGCGGAATCGCATGTGCGCGACAGTCGGAGTCATGGGAGAAGGGCCGAATGCAGCTAGGCGCCAGCGCACCGCCCGGGAGCATCGATTAGACGCCTCAACACCATTTCCGCGAGTCCCGCAGTTCGATTCCGGCTCACGTTAATAGCAACAAGCGATGCGTTTGTGAACATTGTGATTCTGAGAGCACTCTACAGAAGCTGGTATACATCACAATGTCCTAAACGCGACCGCGCTGTAATACACAAAGCATAGTTGGCAAATCCCACAAAAGTCCAGGTGTGTAGGCCGCGACAGCACACCTAAATAAAACAAGAGGAAGGGTAGGGAGGGAGGGGCCGCGAGTCTCGGACGGCGAAAACGAGTCTCCAAAGGCGATGGTACAACGCCTCGCCCGCCCGAATCGAAGCGCGGAGCCCCGCTGCTCGCGTCTCTTCTTCCTCAGAAGCCGAATACAACCGCAGCGCCCACGACGAACACCGCAGCGGCGCCGACGCGCCCGTCGACGAACGTGCCCAGCGCGCCCCCGTCCCCCCGGGGGTCGTACTCGGCTGAGTGGACGAGCCTGAGGTGCTCGCGGGGTTCTTTGAGGTGGTGCCGGTGGAAGGGCGGAGCTGGTGCCGTTCGAGGTGGGAGGGGCGCTCAGGACGGTCTGGGATGTGGAGGAAGTCACAGACTGGGTGGTCGAGGAGGAGGACGTCACCGAGGTGTTGTGAGAACCAGTAGAGCTGGACGCGGTGCTGGTGCCGTGGTTTCCGGCGGAGCCAGTAATAGAAGTGGAGCTGGTGACACTGGCGGCGGTGGTAGTGGGGTTAGTACTGCCGGGAGAGCTGTCGATGATGGTCGTTCCGGTAGTGGGCGGAAGGCTGACATGGCGTTAGTGCGAACGGTCAATGCATTAGAACCATGAGCGCTCACGAAGTGGTCGAGCTGGGGCCGATCGACGTTGATTCAGAGCGGACCTGGAGGTCATCCACAACGACCGCAGTGACTGGGCAACGCGCATGAAGGTCCGAATCCGGGGACAGGGCGAGGTGGACTGGCATCACGTACCCTGAGCCGCAAGGACAGCCACAGCAAGGACGATGCTGAACGAACGCATGTTTGAGGTGAAGTCAAAAGGGGGTAAAACAGTAGTGTCACGAAGGACGGCGAGGTATGCGTTCGTATCGCGAGCCGGGTGGGGAGGATGGCGGGTAAGAGATGGGCAGGCTGCAACGACGGGCTCGGTATATGAGGGAAACGGCGAGCTGTGCCTTCCCACAAACTGAGTGGTTTCAATCGGCGCGGTCCACGGGATCGCGGGACCGCCTGTAGGATCAAGCAGAGCGGCGCCGCTGCCCACACGTCAACTTCTACTCTGCCTGCCCGAGCATGTGTTGCCTAGGTGCTGCACATCTTCGACGACCCTCTGCGATGACGAGCTCCGAGCAAAAGCCTACCCCATGGCCGCAGAATGAGCCCTGCACACTCACAGAACCTGTGGCACAAGGAGAACAAGGAGAACATGGAAGGCTTCTTTACCCCGCCGCACATCTCGGATCCGTCACGCACTGCTGAGTTTGTCCACCACGGGAATAATCCCCGTCTCGGTGGCAACACTGTAGCAGGTTTGGGCACAGGGCAACCGGTGATCAATAGCCGCTGATCAAAGTACCATATATACTTACCTAACACATCGGGAAGCTTCCCTGAACCGCATGCAGAGACAAAGCAAAGCCAAACGAGGTTCCAGCTGGAACGGAGACGACTTTGATAACATCGTCACCGCGGTCTGTCTGTTGCCGTGCAGTGATCTGCACCCGAAGATGCGGGGAGAGCTGGCCGGCAGTACAGCGTCTGGGTGGGGCAGTTCAGGTTGCGAATTGACAGCGTGGGGCAGGGGCAATGCAAGGAGGGCAAGGGGATACGAAAGTTCACGCCCGTAAGTGTTCGAGTGTTCATACACTGACAGTACACGCGCAGACGTACTTGCTTACGGCGACGATGTCCGCGTTTCCCGTCGAGTTCGAGGAGTCATCTCCTAGGGAGGCGTAAGACTTTCGCGTAGAATACTAAAGCAGTGTGCACACACCACCTTCCACGGAGGAAATGCGGCGTTCCACTGGTGAAGACGAAAAAACACCGGGGTTGGAACCCCACATCGTCATGAAATAAGCCACTTTATGGGACTTGTTCACACAGGGAGGAACGGAAATCGAGCGGATCCTGGAAATCTGCGCTGCAGAACGCCACGAGCTGCCACGAGTCGGGGGAAGGGAGAAGGGGGAGGAGGAGGAGGAGGAGGCGGGTCATGATTCGCCAGATCGCTCGATATCAAAACCCACACGTGGCAATTACGGCGCCTGCCGAAAGCGATGTCATCGCGCGGCCACCCACTCGAGCGTCTCCTAAAGACTTACTTATGTCCTGAGCTTGCCCTCAGAGCACAACGAGGTGAGTGCCGAGTCATCTGTTAGAAGTCGGCGGCTCGGTCGGGGTCGGACGAGGGGGTAAAGGCAATCGATACCACGCGGTTGGTCCCTATGGGCACCGGGAGGCGAGTACAGACGGACGCGGGGGAGAACGAGGCGGTGGGGAAGGGCAAACGCGTGAGGCGAGTGCGGGACGAGGGGCGGCGGCTATCTACGGGATGACTAAGCGCTGGTACCGTACGACCGAGCTTGCTAAGTATGCGGGCAGATTCCAACAGGCCCCCACAAGCGAGGGCGTATAACGAGCACAAATCGAGGGGAAGACGGTGGTACAAAATGCGAAGGGTCGAGGACGAGGGATCGAGGACGATGGGTCGAGTACGAAGGATCGAGGAAGACGCTGAATCGGTTACGCTGGTTCGAGGACGATGGATCGGTTTACGCTGGTTCGAGTACGATGGGTCGGTTACGCTGGATCGGATACGATGGATCGGGGTTTACGCTGGATCGAGGAGAGACAGGGGCATAGAATCGAATAAACAAAATCAACGTGACGAGGATCGGGGACAGGGGATCAAGACGATGATGCGGGCGACCAGCTACAACCTCAGGAGAGCAAGCGAATCACGATGTCGAGCACGCCAATGACGGCCGGCTAAAGTAACCACAACATGCCGACAGGGGAGCACGGAGGCGAGAAGGGGAAACGAGAAAATGCGCGAGGGGATCGTAAATCAAAACGTACAAATGTCCCGTGACCTAGTAAGAGACAGCCACAATGGGACTCTCCAAACAACTCCGGAACGGCGCAGGCCGGTGGGCCGGGTGCCATGGCTGAGGCGGCGCGCTTCCTGAATGCGGGACTCGACCACGAGGAACACTAGTGGGAGCGGGAGCAGCGGCGGCGGCGGTCGCGGCGCGGGCGGCGGATGCGAGGGCGGTGGAGATGGAGGGGCGATTCTTGCGATAGGAGGTGTGGGGGTCGAAGATCGGCGGGGAGAAAGCGGGATCGGAGGATCGCAAACGGGTCGGGGGTCGAAAGGTGATCGCGGGTCGGAGGGGGCTTCGGATCGTCGAGATCGGATGGCGCGGACAACGAGTAGGCCGGGCGCGGGCGCGGAATGACCTCCGGGCAAGGGTACGCGTTTGTGTTAGAAGTCGGCGGCTCGGTCGGGGTCGGACGAGGGGGTAAAGGCAATCGATACCACGCGGTTGGTCCCTATGGGCACCGGGAGGCGAGTACAGACGGACGCGGGGGAGAACGAGGCGGTGGGGAAGGGCAAACGCGTGAGGCGAGTGCGGGACGAGGGGCGGCGGCTATCTACGGGATGACTAAGCGCTGGTACCGTACGACCGAGCTTGCTAAGTATGCGGGCAGATTCCAACATCATCACCCAATTGTATTCAACCTTCCAGCGAGCGAGTACCGCATACTCCGCGAAGGTTCCGGACTCCGAGCCCCGGTGAATAAGTGGCCGTATCAAGTATTTTTAGTTGACGAGTGAGTGTCTGTAGCGTCGACTGGCGGTGCGGACCGCTTTTTCCACGAACGTTGTGTACACACGAGCCCCGCGTCTCAATATCCTTACCATCGATTGCGCATGCGCATTCCGCTGCGAAGCGTTCATTTTGTCTCTGGGTGCCTTCAGGTTTTCCGCCGACTCGGCCACCACCTCGTCCGCCTCTTCCTGGTACAGCGTTAGGTCGAAGGCATCCTTGAGCGCAAGCGTTGGACGTGGGCGTGCAGATTGCGCGGAGACTGTGAGCTCCCTATTCGCTTGCGAGACCTGTGAATGTGGGATTACGACACTCTAATGATTGCGCCGCGCAGCTTCCTTGACACCCCCGACGTGAGGCTCGGGCGCGTCTCCCCGCGCCCTTTTCCCAGACCCCTGCGTATTGCATCCGCCACCTACCCATCTCGCGCAGGGCGACAATTTCCGGTCTGACGATTCTCACCATTATAATATGGACTGCCAGGACGTATGGGTGGTTTGTACTGTCGCGCCGCCTGCGGTGCCGTTGATTCCCGTCGGATGCGGTAATCTTCTGTCTTCGGGAGCTATTACAGCCTGCCTGAGCGTTGTCGCAGCTCGTCAAGCAATTCCAAAAACAGGATGCATTCATGAGCCGTCCGGTCGGAACAAAGGGGGATCTATACAATCGTTTGCACCCGCTATTCAATCGGTGATCACTAAGAGCTTCACCAGCGGCCAGGACAGCACGCAAGTCGGAGAGGGAGGACAACGACACGAAAAGCCCTGTGCTCACCAAACGCTATGCCTGAGGGCGTGAGCACTGAGAAGATCTTTTGGCATGTTTTCACGTCAAGCGGAGGGGGAAATCGCTACCTAAGACGACAGCGAGCGTGTATACGGAGGAGGACGAGGGGAGAAACAAGGTCCCGGAGAATGCCGTCGCCATTCGCGCCAAGGCTCCGCGCGGATAGAGCATGCCTCCGCGTGCGTGTCGGGGTCAAGGCAGATTTCAGGGAGTCGATCGAGAGCGAGTGGAAACACTCGAAATCAGGAAAGCATGGGAACAACGCGCGACGAAGAGTCGACAAACCGTGTGCCATCAATGTCCACGAAAAACAAGGAGCGTATGAAAAGGTCATGACCAGTCCGCGTTGCACATTGGCATCTCCCTCCGCCGTCGTGACACCCGACACCCGCTCCTACCACCCCTCCGCGACAACGGCGCCCTAGAAGCCGAATGCGACGGCAGCCCCGACCGCGAGGATCGCCGCGACCCGGGTCTGGACGTCGATGGACGCACCGGTAAACGCGCTGTTGCTTCCCTCCCCATGAGCTTGTTCGTGGCGGCGGTAGAGGTAGACGTTGCGTTGACGGGGTTGGTCGATGTCGCGTTAACAGGGTTGGTCGACGTCGCGTTGGCTGGGTTGGTTGACGTCGTGTTGGCTGGGTTGGTCGACGTCGCGTTGACTGGGTTGGTCGACGTCGCGTTGACGGGGTTTGTCGATGTCGCATTGACTGGATTGGTTGACGTCGCATTGACGGGGTTTGTCGATGTCGCATTGACCGGATTGGTCGACGTAGCATTGACGGGGTTGGTCGACGTCGCGTTGGCAGGGTTTGTCGACGTCGCATTGACGAGGTTGATCGACGATTCCGACTTAGCGAGAACGAATGCTACACAGAAAACGAATGTATCCGTCAATATTCGGAGCGACTGATAGTACGAGTCATCAACTCACCTTGAGACGCCGCAAGGATGACAGCAAACAAGGTACCGAAAGACTTCATGGCTGTGGGCGCTGATTAAAGAAGAGAAGGTAGCGGGTCTAGGGAGTGGCCTGAGGAGTGGACCGCGGAGTGGTTAGAGAACTGGCAAGCCCCAGCGTCGCTCACAGGGTTTATATGTACGCTGAGGCTGCTTCTTGCGCCCAAGTCCCTGGTAGCCTTTCGCGGGGATGCATCCCCATCCTGTGACGGAAAAGCACAGCTCTGTTGCCGTACATACATATGCGTGTCGACGTTTATGGAGGCGGTGGGAAGATGGAACTTGCAGCTCGGGCAGCCGGGCCAAGGGAAAGCTTCCGATACCAGTAAATCGGTCACGTGTCGGTCGCGGCATTCCCCAGCGTAGAGAAGACCCATCAACGACCCTGAGGACCATTGAGGCTTTGTCAGTGCTTCGGGGCATCTTTTCCGACGACGCCCCTTTGCTTCCGCTCTGTGACCTGAGTCCGAATGGTAATTACGCTTGTGGATTACGCCTACCATAGAGGTCTGCTCTCGAGGGGCGCCGTGTCGGCTA